AGGACAGCGGACAACCTCGCAGGTCAACATAATGACCTAACTTCATGTTTAATTAACATTCTATAGTACATTACTTCCTGTACTTCAGTAAGTAAATACAGTACCTGTATATAAATACTTAGGAAGTACATATAATTGCATACAGACATAATATATCTATGTGAAATCTATAGCATTATAGTTACTGTATTACTTTAGATTTTCCAGTTTCTAATTTTATCTGTAATTAAAAAAAAAATTAGATTAGTTTAGCGTACACAAAATTTTCATTTAGAAACTCCTTGAATATTTTTTTGGAATATTGACCCCAAAATTTATTTATAAATTATAACAAAAAAGTTACGATTAATATAAGCAAACCTAACATAAAAACAAAATTAAAATTATACAAGTATAAGCTGTGTTTTTTTCTGACCTGCCATCTGATTTTATATTACACTAGTTTTGTGCCCACTATTTCGGACACGTAGATTTAAAAGTAGGAAAACTGATTAAATAACCACTTCTAAATAGCGTATCAAGACAAAAACACACACACCAGATTCTATGTTAAACCTTCAGAAATACAACTGTGACAACTGCATTCAATTTAAGTGCAGTATTTTTACGTAATGCCAAAACATTTTTCGGCAAAATTTTAAAAAATTTTTTTTTTTGGTTACTATTGTCCTTATTAAAACTGCTCATATTATTTATTGTTAAATATATATATATTATATAAGTAAGATTAAAAAAATCCCAGATAGTCTAATTTTCAAGAAAGAGGCCTAATTTCAAAATAGGACGTCGCCTCCAATGTCTCCAAATTTAGCTAAGGTCACGGTAGCGAGCACCCTTACTTCTCTACCTCTACTTAATTATCTACCTCTTTAAAACGTGTTACAAAGAACTATATCAAATTATGTAATTTTCTTCTTTACAACATAAATGCGATCAGTGAATGAATTTCATAATATGTCTTAATAGAGGTCATTTGGGTGTATTGTTAAGCTTATTCACGTGTACTTGATAACATAAATGTGAGCACATGGACATTGGACACGCATAAGATGCCTTTCACGTTTGACCATCGTGTTCACAATATTTACCTACTCGTAGATAGGAATTGATGCATCTAACCCTGACAAAAACATCGGTTTAAATACAAGTGACTATTTGACCATTAAAATTTGTAAATCTACGTAATAATGATTTACTTTAATGAAATAGTTTATTGTATTTTATACATAAAGTAAAATAAATAAAAAATTATTTTGTTAAATCGGCCAATATTTATTCAAATAAATATCGGCCGATGTAAAATGTGTATAGATATATATTTTAAAATGTTTTTTTTTAAAGTACTTTAAAAATAAAAATATTAAAAATAATTATAAAATGATCGTCTGGATAAACTATTAGCAACATTGTTAATGCAAGTTTAAAGTAAAATTACATTTTATTCTTACAAAGTCATGTGGAAAGATTTATTAAATTTCGAATTTAACAAAGATTTTACCTTCGTCGTGGTAATTTTGTTTTTAATAACTAATATTATAAAGAGGAAATATTTGATCGTTTGTAATGGATAAATTTAAACATACTTAATCAACTTTAAACATTATTTTACCTGTAGAAAGTTATATTATCAACTAGTAACTGAAACTAAAATATACTGATATAGATATATAACAGTTGTATTTGTTTTTTTTAATGAATGATACTGAAATGGTAACCCTGCCTACGCTAACGATATACGCTGACGGGGCACCAGTGAGAGATGATACATGAGAATGAAAAAGGCAGGTCAGTTAACCCATCGTGATCAATTCACCCGGAATTCAACACTATGATTTTCAGGGAGGGTTACGGGTGAGGCCGACGGTGGGTACATTGCTAGCAATAGGGCCCTTACTCTCCATTACTAACAATCCCTTCGCACCCAGTAGTAGTAGTAGTATGTAATAACTAAAATTGAATAAAAGTAAATAAAACCATCTGCAAGTCAAACTCACCCTTACTTTCTAGTTAAGATAATCCGAGAAGAATAAGTAAAAATTATAAAACATAATACAATTCATATTTAATCCAATTAAGAGAGCTACTAGTATAGTACTATATTATCTGTGAAAAGTATATCTAATCAGTATCTCGTTACTAGGTATTTTGTAATAGGGCCTACTTCGCATGCGTCAAATTGGATGTGTTCAATAATACATAATAATATAATTAGAACGATCCAAAAGTAATTTGTAGCTATTTTTAATAAAAAAAAGCCTACACCAATTTTTTTTTATTTAATGGGTGATAATGGAATGGTAACCCCATCCGCGCTAACGGTATACACCGGCGAGGCACCAGTGAAGGATGATAGATGAGGATGAAGCAGGTCAGTTAGCCCATCGTGACGAATTCATAATGAATTGTTCACGATGGTTTCCAGGAGAAACCACGTGGAGGTCGACCTATAATTGTGTGCATACTGCTAGTAATGGGGTTGTCAAACTCCATTGCTAACAATCCCTTCCCCCCCTGACCAAACCTACACCAATATTACTTACTGAAACAAGGACAGAAATCTATTCTAAACCCTTTCAAATTGTATTCCAACGCTTACTTAATGACTTGTGTCAAGCAAAAGGAAGTTCTCAAAGTATTGGTTAGCTATTAATACAATCATATAGAATTTAAAGCAAATTATTAGAGTTCATATTAAAATATGTTATATACAGTAAACAAAAATTATACATTATTAAAGATAGTAGTTATTAATTTCAAACTATATTCTTATCGGGGGTGTAACTCAGTGGTAGAGTGTCTGCTTCGCATGCTGAAAGTCCTGGGTTCAAATCCCAGCACCTCCAAATGTATAGTTTTTGATATTGTTACTTTTTAATTTTTTCTTAATAATTTTAATTATTAACTGTACTTAATAAACTCTATTAATCAATAAAAAATTATATAAAAGAAAAAAGTAATAAATATTAGGTTGATGATCAATAATGCCATCTACTGATCCATTATACTAAACTGAAAACGCTGATACAGTGTTTTGAAGTACTCGTAAAACATAATTTTTTTCATTTCAATTTCAAATCATGCTTAGATATTTTTTGTATATAAACAAATTGCTAACCCTATCTCATTTACAGGCTATTTAATTTCTATAGAGAAATAATAGCATACATCGTAATGTATGAGACAGCGCCCTCTAGTAATAGATATTGACAATATGTAGTAATCGCATCAAAAACGTGAGGCATGGACGATGACAAATATATGCAAAAAGCATAATAGCACAGTATAAAGAACTACCAACTTTTAGATAAGTACTTTTATTTCACATTGCTTCTGCAGTAGTAGTTATATTAACAATAAATATAAACTTTATTTATTTAAAAATATATCGCTTCTTGTTAGTATTGGTAAATATATACGTGTGTTATATTGTGAAAATGTAAAAAATGTGACACAAAATGTCACATTGTTTACATTTTCACAATCCACTGATTTAAAATAATTAAACAGAATGCTTAATGGCGCTTCCCTTTTTAATACTTTAACGAATAGTTGTAGTATTGGTTAGGGTATTCGGTCGAACCGGTGGTGCATGACCGTCAACTTGGGCGAGACGGTGGCACTACTGGTCCGTCGCAACCTCGCAACCAGGCTTCACCTCCGCCGTCTCTAAGACTCCAAAACGAGGAGATTGCGTGGGAGAACATCTTGCACTACCTCGGGGTCGACATCGACCAATTGCTGAGGACAGTGCTGCGAATCTCGCAAGCTATATTGCAGGCCCACGCAGAACTCCTCCAATCTCAAGGATGCCGTTACAGACGAAGATCTCCAGATTACAGACGAAGATTACAAAACTTACGCGCGCTAGTGGCTGACCTATGCTTGTATGATACGCATTATGCTCTCCGATGCTGAGGCACCAGAACATCGCCCTTTGCCTCTGCACGGGAACGAGGCAGTACGTCTGGAACGACGACCTCGCAATGTCGGGGTCCCTTCGATGAAGACGTTCATTAGAAGCATAGCGTACAAAATGTTCGCCCGTGTTGATAACGGGCCGTACCTTTTCTTGATAAGTATTGCACCGCTGCACGCTCGTCCTCCGGACTGTCGCCCCACTCCCATATATCGCCTGTGCGCAGGCGAAAGGTAACATTCCTTCCAAACGACGACTTCCCCTCTTTCCTCCTCTCTTCTGACCCATTGCCCCCTGCTCTCTCAATGCTGCATTTCCAGCGGCGGCCCTATTATTTATTTCTATGTTATTTATCTTACTAACAATTGTGGCAAGAAAGGCAAAGAGCCGTAAAAAATTATATATACCCCACATTCATATTAATTACCCTGGCGTAGTTATTTATTAAAAAAATATCAATATTAAAATCACTCTATGATTTTAATAAACGTAAACGCTAATGCTGTGAATAATATAAATCTGTGTTAAATCATCCTTAGTACGTAAAAAGATAAAGATAAGTAACGTAATGGAACGGGACCCTAAATAACGTCACATTCGTTCTTTACTCGCTGGATTTCAATCGACTTTATACTGGATTAAAGGATTCCAAACCCAAAGTGATTAATTCTCAAACCTTAAGATGGATGAACTACTCAGATAAATGAGATCTTATAATAATTTATTTAAGCACTCTAAGTACTACACAATTTAGTTTCTAATTTAAAATAAAATAAGAAAAACCGCTAATTATTAGTCAAGTTTAAGAAATAGAAATTTCCATATACGTTTGTAGTTTTAAGGGATTACTTTGTGAATTCCGAACACATTTTGATAATTTGTTTTTAAATCCAGAACCATTACTTTTCTATATTAATTTTGTCGCAATTTAATTCTTTGTGGAAAATGTAAATAAAATCATTTTTAATTTATTAAGTAATATATAAATTATTTTTATTTATACCGTAGATATATCGTATATTCGACATTTATTTTATTATTCAGAGCTTTAATATTTTAGGATAGGGATATAGTAAAAGAAAAATCTTTTTTAATATAATATTTTTAATGAAAATTCAACTAAACGTATAAATCTTATTTATACTTACATTAAACAAGTAAATGGATAAATATTTACATTTAGCTGAGGGATGATTGCATACATTGCTCCCTCCCTCAAAATTGCACTAACAAAAATATGGGTTGACCATGTGTGGCCCACCCCAAGTGCTCGGTTGTTTGTTGGGATCATAAAACAAACGGAATCATCGTTTTAGTATGATGCGAGTGACAGAAAATAAAATATTAAAATGTAACTTGTAGCTTCAAATAAGTATTTCATTGTAACAAAATATTATCAGCTATTATTTATTAAATTTACGTTAACTACAAAAATCTCACTCAATACACTTCTTTGACAACATAAATTGCCAAAATATCAGCTGTCAACCGCATCAAGCTACAACGCACAAAGTATACTTAGATATATTTTAATTTTAAAAATCAATAATTATTTTAGTGAACACATTTAGTATTTTATTTTTCTATACTTGTATATTTAATATTTACTGGACTAAACCAAAATAAAGCATACTTACACTGTTAATATTTTTAATCAAGCTCAATTATTTTTTTTTTGTTCGTAGGATTGTGTTTATTATTATGTATACATAACATTAAAATGAAATTTTAAACAATTCATCGTCATGTTTCCAACATATACATCTTATCTACACAAGTAGATTTTATATAAATTTTTATACACGTTGTGATATACATATAAAATATAAAACACAACATTGTATTTTGGTGTGAACGGGATCTGTCGTCATACTTTCATAATTCCAATTTTTTTATTCATTCACCTCAATTATTCTTTTGCTCCATATAGCTTAAATAAAAGGTAGTAGCGCGCGTATTTCAAAAATCGAGGTGAATGAATTCTACATTTAATTTTTATATTAGAACAATATTGTCATCTATTTCTCTACGATGCAAAGGAATTTATACATACGTACATAAATAATTAATAAAAAAACGTCCCAAATAACCACCGAGCGTATAATATAACGAGTAAACATTGTGTATATTAGATATATTGCAGTCTTAGTACGCCGTGGCACTGTTTGCCGCCTTACCCTATAGCTAGAGACCGCTCGCTAGTGCTAATACTACGGCGCTACTTGAGTACACTGCTACTCAGAACATCTAACCTGTATGTATGCGGCTTGTTTTAGCCGAAATTGGGGAACAACTTAGTATTATGCAGGTCGTAGTCTATAGAAAACTAATATTTTAAAACTTTATAACCACGTATATGATATTAATAATTAAATCTTTAAAAAAAGTTAAGTCTACTTATTAAAAAATATTAATTGTATGAAACAAAAAAAAATAATGTTTATCCTTTGATACATAGATTACAAAATTATACCTTTCCATAGACCAGTGTCCTTCTTCTTAAAAAAAGGTACACGACATTCTTTATTCTGAAGACATCTTGGACCTATCCATCACCATATCCATTTTATTTTAACTATCGATATTAATTTTACTATGGAAATAGTAAAAAAATACAGGGTCCCCAATTTCCATATGACCTTACAGTTTTATTCACTAAAATACCTACTAATAAAATGACACTACAATAACTATTGGAAGATAGTAAAAGTGGCCTCGCCTATACGAAACGGTAACAAGTACTACACTAAACATTATAATAGATAAAGGATTATCTTAAAAACATTGTCACATCACTAATAAGGAACAATTTAAAAAATTAATTTAAAAAACTAAGGGCTTAACTTATAAAAGGTATAAATTCAATAAAATCAAATTGACAAATAACACTTAATTGACTATTTATAAAAACACAAGCACAATAAATTAAATTAATGTCTTTTCATTTGATACTTGATTATTATAATAATATTATTACAGTAGAAAACATTGTATGTAACAGTGTTTTTAATCTAACTCCAATATTAACTAGACTAGAAATCATGGAGGGACTAGACAGGGAGATATGGAAGAACTACTGGCCGTTTATTCTTGTCTTTATGTAAAGTACAAAAAAAGAAAAAAAAAATAACAATTATAAATTTTATTACTTAAAAAAAGTTTCATAGATAATTGAGCAATTGATTTATTGATGATGAATTGATACCTTTATTCTTTAAGTCTCTGTAAACTAGGTAATAATTATAATCTAAGGTTTAATTTATATTAAGATTTAATTTTATTTTTCTTGCAAAAATATTGTAAACAGAACCTAATAGGTAATAGTAGATAAACTATTATTGCTTCTTATTCACTTTAGGTACATTTACAAACTATAATAAATTTGAACTTATGTTCTCTGATAGTTATTGGAAGCCGTAATATATAGACATAATAGGATAGATACTAGAAACAGAAATTCGTAAGTAAATTCCAATTTATGAAAATTTGTCTAAACGTAAACTAATATTACGAGTAAACATGAAGAGAATTTTTTTTTTATTTGATTGTTTGTAAAAACTGACCTAAAAACTATTTAACCGATATTAAAAATTCTTTCACAGCGAATAACACAGGTTGAATTTTATCTAAAAAAAAACGTGAGAACCCAGGACGTGCTACTAGTATAAAATATCAGCTCAAAATCATAACATAAACGCGTGTTCGCTTATTTTTTTTCAATCAATATCACATATTAAAAGACTCGATTAAACGGCCTACACTACATGTCGACGGTAACATAAAAGGTCTAAAGCTAGGGTTTGGCAGGACGGGAGAGGTTAGGAGTAGGGCTAGAGCGAGTCCAACCGCGTGCGCTGCACGGCAAGCAGCGCTGATTGTTGCTGTAAACTTTTCCTCAACCCCTCCAGAGTTTGCAACACCTGCAAATAATATATAACATATAATAACATATAATAAATATATAATAACATATCTACAAATCCATTTGAAAAACCGAATCCATAAGAATAGGTATAGTCCATTTCAATAGTACTTAATGAAAATGTAAAAAAAAAAACGAATAATTGACCTGACCATGAAACCATTTTTATTATTTCAAAAATAGATTAATTGATCGAATACTTTTTTTTAACTTCTTACTAATTTTCATTTAGAGAGTGTTTCTGTAGTCATTTCAAAAACACTTGGTCGCTTTCTCATTAAATTGAAACTATAATACAATAGAATCCCGATTATTCTAATCGAATAAAACCAGGGGTATTCCGTATAATCGAAAATCTGGATAATCGATTTCAAAATCAAATCAAACAAAAATTAAATTTGAATATTTTTTTATTACGTCATTTATAAATCTTCGTCATCATCATTTCAGCCAATATTTGTCCGCTACTGTACATAGGCCTCCTCCATAGACGTCCATAAGGAACGGTCCTGCCTGAGCCACCATAAACAATACAATATAAAAAAATTACGGCTATAATAGATTATATAATACCTATGTAATTTAAAATTTTTGTTAAAAATAATTAGTTTAACCTTTGACGTAATGAATCACATTTTTTCATTGTCGCCTAGGCTCTGATGCGCTTCAGTTGTAAGAACTGTATCTGATTCCTCTTATCTTGTCCGAATAATCGAATGTTCGGATCATCAATTTTCGGATAACCAATATTCTACTGTATGTTGTAAAAAGGGGATTTTTTATTATATCAACCGTTAACTGCCCACTGCCAATAGTATTGTATTATCTGTGCCACTGCTGAACATGGGCTTGTCGTGCTTATAGGCAGGTTGGCAACCGTAATTAGGCTCGATCATTAAGTTCCCTTAGTCGCCTCTTACGTAAAAAGGGCATAGTACAATTCAAACACAATGGTTAATTAAACGAGCAAACAATACGGAAGTAGAAGTACGAATACGTGAGCGGGAGAACTAATAAATGAATTGGTGAACAATTCATTGATATCTCTCTATTACGTATCAGTATCATAGAACAAAAATTTTATTTTGCTGTCAAAATGGACCTTTAAACGGCTGTATTTTTTTTAATGGGTGATCATGGAATTGTAACCCCACGCGCGTTATAGATATACACCGGAGGGGCACTAGTGAGGAATGATAGGTGAGGATGAAGCAGGTCAGGTAGCCCATCGTGACGAATTCAACAAGAATCGTTCACGATGGTTTCCAGGGGGAACCACGTGGAGGTCGACCTTATAGAGCATATTGCTAGCAATGGGGTTGTCAAAGTCCAATGCTAACAATCCCTTTCCTTCCTAAACGGCTGTATTATCACCCTGTCACCGAGAAATACCTAACATTAGATACATTTGGCTGTAATGATGTAACCTCATATAGCAAGTTCACATTAATTAGTGCTTTAATTCTCTACTGAGTTCCTAAAGAAAATAAAGAAACTGAAGAAAAAAAAAGAATTATGTTATTCTTCAAGACATATCTGTTTCAGAGTTACCGAATAGGTATATGTACCTATAACAAATAGCTCGGAATTTTTATTTTATTAACTAGCTATATCCCGCTTTGTCCGCATGAATCAATACATAGTGTCCTGTGTGCTAAATTTGAATATGACATACCCATGTACAAAATTTTATTTAAATCTGTTCAGTAGCTTTTGTGTGAAAGAATAACTAACAAATATCCACCCATCCGTCCATCGTTACAAACTTTCGTATATATTATTATATCATCGTGATGATTTATGGTTGGGCAATGGTTATTAAATCATTGTGTTTAAGTAAGTTATTTTATAACAATTAATGATATCAGTGAGTAATCGACGATTTGTTTAAGAATAGATAATGACTGACCGGCCATAAACATTAAACTATGAAGATTCTCCACATTTTAATGAATGAAGTGATTTACGTTTTACGTCTTTGTTTACTATGCTCATAGCCATTTAGATAAGAATATTATTGAAAGACGGAATATGCACAAGTAAATATTAACGTAACTATTTGTAAACATGTCATGAACCAAGTAAATTATCTTGTGACAATTTGTACCTACGAGGATAGAATAATATACTGTTAACACACACCTTTGGCATATTAAATTACTCATCCATGAAGCCCTAAGATTAGATCTTTTTTTTTTTGTTAGGAAACTCAAGATTCCTTAGATCGGAACCAAATGCATATTGTTTTGTGGATGTGGTGGATATTTGGTTGTTTCCAATTGTTTTATGGTGTTATTAGATATGGAAGAGTGGCACTTCCTGGCACTTTCAATGCATTTTCATTGCTAAAAAGAAGTTTATGTGCTACAAAGGTCAGCAACTAGAATGAAATAAATAAATTCTATTTTTTTTTTTATTAATTATTGAAATTTGATTATTATCTAATATAACACTCCCATTATATGACTGACACTATACGTATAAGCATGTTCTACTACCTATCTATTATTTCTATTATTTTCGCCCTTCTCGTTGTTTATTGTACCTTAGGACATATGTAGAGAACAGTGCAATATCAGGTCACTCAAACGTTTCCACGACCAGTCGTAAAGCAATCTGCATTCCGATTTCCCTATTAGTAAATTTAACCGTCGGACACTATCTTCATCGTTTGAATCATTAATTCTCCATGACTGAACATGAGTCTCTCTACATAATCCCTTAAAGGAAAGTCTTTAGCTACCTGCATCCACTGACTACCTACAGCACATTTGACGGCATTGTCCATTTTTTGTTTATTAAAGACTTGTACTGTTAATTAACCATGTATCAATCGAGAACCTTCTTTCAATATCAATAGTTAATTCTTCGAGTTATATGTATAGTCTTCAGCCGTCTGATTGTCGTATGGTCCCGGCATAGAATAGGCCAACCCTTCCTGTCGCAATAGGACACTTAATGTTCAAGAGATGGGCAGCAGTGCCTCTCTTAAAACATAATTAAAAGCCTAATTGCCGTTGCCAAGCCGCCTGTTAAGCATTGCAACTACTAACAAAACCACCCCTTATGGGGAAGGCTTATGTACAGCAGTTAACGACTGATATGATATGACGTCTAATTCTTCGGATTTCATAAACTGGTAATACCTTTACATACACTAACCACATCTCGAGCATATGCCTTCCATTTAGATGGACCAGAGTACCGATAAGCAGGACGCGCGGGTCTTTAGGCTGCCATAGACATCAACTACCTACACATCTATCGACTAACCTCATCTTGACCATATGCCTTCCACTTAGATGATTCAGAGAGTAGTTGATCAGCACCGTCGAGCTTAGTAACGAACGCAATGGCCTAAGGGCTTCCTAGAAAATCGACTGTGTTTACAGGCATAAATGCAGTCGATTTTCTGTGAGTTTAGGCAAACTCATTTCGAGCATACGTGTTTCATTTAAGCGATGCAGAGTACAACTTACCAGAACAATCAATCAGCTCCCTGTGTAAGGCCTAACGAGTTTCCGGCTTCCTAGGACATGTGCTGTACTTATACAGCCATTGTATAACCTCATCTCAAGCATATGTCATGCATTTAGATGATTCAGGGTGCGTCCGATCAGCAGCATACCTAGTGCAGGGTGCAACTTTCAGATTCCTAAGGCATCGATTAAACCTATATACTATCGTCATTTCCAGCATATGCCATTTAGATGGTTCAGAGAGCGGTCGATCAGCACTATTGAGTGGCTATCCAGTGCAGGTTGCGATGGCCTTTGGACTTTTTAGAACATCGGCTATAGCTGTATACTAACCTCATCTCGAGCATATGCTTTCCGTTTAGGTGGTTCAGAGTGCGGCCGATCAGCACAGTCAAGCGGTTGCCTGGTACGGGGCGCGACGGGCGGTGGCGGCGGCGCGGCGAGGGGGGAGCGCCTCGCTAGCGGGGAGGGGCGGCGGGCTGGCTCGGGAGAGTTTGCACGCATGAAATTCGTGATGTGGGTGCGTTCAGGGCTGCGGCGGGGGGCTTCTACCTGGTATACATATGATCATTACTAATGCCCGACATACACGATGAGGCTCTTTTAATCGACCATAACGATTTATCTTTATACACAAAATTAGATACAATATCACCACCATGCAATTTCAGAAATGACAATGACGGATTATTTCAATAATGGGCACTTTTGTAATTTACTATATTTATTATACACGTTTTGTAGTCACGATAGAAGAATAAAATGTATGGAATTGTATAGAGACACTTAATTTCTCTCGACGGTAAGATCAAGTCAATCGAAGGTCAAATTTAAATCGTCTCCATATATGAAATTACCACAACGACTTACGGTATAACCTCATCAATAATTTGCAAAAATGCCCAATCTCTTTTTGCATCTGGGACTTAATTGCTGCTAAGTTTGTGAACATAAACAGACATTTGAGGATTAAAAAGGCAAAAACCAAAATAATTAATTCTTTCAATTAAAATTTACATGATCAAGGGAATGGCTAACACTGAATCACAATGCAATTGAGTTTTATTTATGAAATGTGCTAGAGATGTTAACTGTAAAGTAGGCATGGATGATATTGGTATCATTTCAACATCTATATATTGGATTCTTTTGGACATTGATGGCGAAAAAACTTTTATACAACTTAGAATGGCAAACAAGCTGACGGCCCACCTGATGGAAAGTGGTAACCGTCGCCTATAGACACGAGCAGTACCATGGATATAACAAAGTATACTATTTCGCCCATGATACCCCCCATGCGTTGCCATTCCTGAGGACTCAGGTGTTATTACTCTGTACCCAGTAAATTCATTACCAAAAAACGTCATTACCAATTACGATATCACCAGTACTTGTCGGCTATCTATATTAATTTCGATAGATTTCTTCATTTCGACCTTAAATATTGGAAAACAGACATTTAACATATTCGTCGTTGGATCAATACATAGATTTTTTAATTAAAATATATAGATATTGCTGTATATTATCCACCCCTACTGTAAAGGGTAAGGAATGTCTCTGATCTTATTTCTGAACGGTACCTATTACTAAAACTGTATCAACATCAAGTGCATATTTATTTAACATCAGCATGGATATAAAGAATAAATGTTAAACACATCTATTAACATAGCTAATCGATGAAATACCTCAGTCGCTCTAAGTTCCCTGATGCGCGGATTGTGTGGCGGTTCCAGCGGTGCCCTCGAGACCGTCACTAGCAGCTTCTCAGCCTCCCGGATAAGCTCGCGGTATTTCCTCTCAGCTTCCCTATCAGCTTCGAGCAAAGGATCCCTCTCTCTTACTGGAGGAGCTGACGGTGCATGATTACGGCGTCTGACTCGAGGTGGTGTTGCCCCTAGAAAATTAATAATGAAAAAAAAATTACATCAGCATATTTAAGTGACATGGCACCAGTGATGTATAATAGGTGAGGATGAAGCAGGTCAGTTAGCCCATCGTGACGAATTCAACAAGAATTGTTCACAATGGTTTCCAAAGGGAACCACGTGGAGGTCGACCTAATAGAGCATAATGTTAGCAATGAAGCTGTCAAACTCCAATGCTAACAATCCCTTTCCCCCCCATTGCGGTGTAGTTCCGGCATAGATTAGGCCACCCTCTCCTTTCCAGTAAGTGTCGTAAGAGGTTATTAAGAGAATTTAATGGTCAAGAAATAGGCAGCAGTGTCTCTCTTAAAACATCACCAAAGCGTAACTACTGTTGTCACTCCACCTGCATGGAACCAACACAAGCATGGATGCTACTGGCAAAACCCCCAATAAGGGGCAGCCAATGTTTAGCAGAGGATAATTAACAACTGATATAATAATATCTAATAATTTAAATGGGTACCGAATTTGGCCTATTTAATTCAATTGATCACATTTATTACAGACACATGTGATTATAAAGCTGTCACCTAGTATTTGAATGATTCTTTCTTGTGGATATAAGTAGGTTAGATTGTATAAATTAATCCATTAAAAATTATATATTCAATATATTAGATGCTATAACAAAGCAAATAAAATATTTCTTAAAAAAAAACATAATTACGCTAACAATCTTCAATTGTCACACTTAATGAGAAAGATTCAACTATAACCATACCAGCAGATCGCGGTGGCCGCCGGGGCGGTCTTCTTCGCCTCGCGCGCCTCCTCCCCGGCGACGCTGTGTCGTCGTCATCCTCGTCCCCACCATCCAGCCCAGTGTCTCCATCTGAATCCACGTCCGCATCCGACAAGATGGCCGTCTCCCTGCCTCTTGTTCTCATCCCCCTGCATTCCTCATCACTCGAAGCTCCTCCTCGATAATAAGGTGATCGAGGCTCGGGTGATATGTGAGGTGACAAGTGTGGGGATAAATGTGGTGATAAGTGAGGAGACCTGAAAAATAAAAGAAAAGTTATTAATAATATACAATACTAGTCATATCTAGCAGCAGCACATCTAATACAAATTCATTCAATTACATCTTTACAGAGTTCTACATTTATAATATTAGATATAGTGCTAGGAGTAAATAAATAAACAATTAAAGTACTACAAAAGGTACAGATAATTGTCAAATGACTGAACAGTTTTTCTTTAATTATAAAAATAGCTATAACACTTTCGATCAACTCACCTTCTAAACAAAAACATCAAATCAAAATCAATATTTAGAAACTACAATGGTACAATACACACTTATAACACCCCTTTCTTTAAGTTCGATGTTAAATACTTTTAAAAATATGAATACACAAGAAAATAACTGTATTCAAGGCAGAATCAATATATTTATCTGAGCAGTAAGTATTATTTATTTAATTATTATTAAGTATTTTATTTATTTATTTATTTATTCATTAGTACAAATATGTGTACATGGCGGACTTAATGCTAAAAGCATTCTCTCCCAGTCAACCATAGGGAAGTGTCAGAATACTCGAATGCGGTACTACTAATTATTGATATACATACATACTAAAATTACATATATAAACGAATAAATATATATAAATAACAAATATACTTACACATATATGACATATACTATATTATACACGAAATTGAGAATAATATAAAGTACTTACTGCTCGGATAAAAATAAAAAGTGTGCGTTAACGCTTTTTTTGAAAGACGGTTTAGTCGATAGTCTCTTAATGGCATCAGGAAGCGCGTTCCAGAGTCGTGAAGAATGTATTTGAAGCGTATAATTGGAGAGTATTATTGGAACGAAGGTTACGTTCGTGAGTTTCAAAAAGATAATGGAATTTACTCCTTAAGTAGTTAGGAGACTGGGGGTTTCGAAGAAGAGTGTAGAGGGTACAAAGAGTTCTAACGTTTCTGCGTTGACGAATGGAAAGCCACTTGAGCTGAGACCGATTTAAAGAAATGTGATCGAATTTGCGGAGGTTGAAGATAAAGCGTATGGCTTGGTTGAGGAGACGGTCCAGCTTATCGAGAAGATCTTCATTAAGATCTGGATAACACACATCAGCATAATCAATAATCGGAATAATAAGTGCGTGAACAAGATTAATTTTTGTAGTATTATCTATTATCTTCGTGTATAATATAGTATATCTTATATATGTATAAGTATATTCGTTATTTATTCGTTTATATATGTAAATTTTAGTGTATAAGTCTATCAATTATTACTAGTACCGCAATCAAGTATTCTAACACTTCCCTAACATTGACTGAGAGAGAATACTTTTAGCATTAAGTCCGCCTTGTACATATATACGTACTAATGAATAAGTAAATAAATAAATAAAATATAAGGCCAACATTGGAAAAAAACGGGGCATGCTATTTTGTATCACTTTACTGTAGTAATATATATTAGCTATTTAAAAAAAATATTCAGCATAACTTTTGTCACTTGTCTAAAATCTGAGTCTAGAACCTCACCTAGATCCATATCTAACTGGATACGAGTCGAGGGAGTACGGTGCATGGTGCAACTGCGGAAGCTGTGGACACTGCAGCGACTGCTGGTGCACCAAGTGCGGTGGTCGTCTGCGGTTTGGAGATGTGGCACCAAGCCATGGATTTGTGCGGATACGACAGCGGGGCCGAGGCGATGGCGTCGCGCATACTATAGGTGGCTCAGGAACGCATCTCCGTGACGGTGCGTTGGTTCGCCGCTGGAAAGTGAGAATAATATAATAAATACATGTAAGATAATAGTAATATAAATATTAATAAAATATAGAAATCATATACCAATAAAATAATATATAATATAAATTTTACAATATAAAATGTGATTGAAAAATTTTTTAAACATGCAGGATTTCAATTCGCGATAAACACATCGTCTAGAGCGATGACGAGTCCTTACCAGTTGAACTATGAAATTTTTTACATATTATTAACATTTATACAATATATAAAACACAATAAATTTATATAATAATATAATAAAATTATAATATTTTTTTCTATTTCAATAATAATTATATAATAAACACTATTATTACCTACTAAAATTTGAACAAGACCAAAATTAAATATTTGCAAAATTAAATATAGTGGTACTGTTAATATATGTTTATATACGTTTATATAATAACCTGTATTCAAGCAAATAAAGATATGCATTTATTCATTCTTACTAAACGTATTATATTTATCACTTGTATATCACTTATTTATGTCATTGAAAGATTTAGATTACAACTTTATTACAAATGTTTTAGTTTGTCTCGTACAGGATAAATAAAAAAAACAAAATGGCCCTCTGTAAAGTAAAAGGGCCTTACAAAAATTGCGCTCGGACTCCCTTACGGCAGCCGGGCGCGATGTACAAATAAATTTGTGGGTGTCAGCATCAGTGCCCTCACTTTACGATCACTGTGCACTATGCTCCCCAAGACAAGGAAGTTATTAATAACTTTGGTAATATTAACTATTAACAAAATTAAAAGCAAATGCTAGTGACATTTAAACTGAATCTAACGCCATCTATTGATAATTTTTGACGTTTTATTTCATAGTTAAATTATTACAAATTCATGTTTATAAAATAATTATATTTGAACATTTTAAATTATTTTCACTATTTATAGCTTTAATAGCTTCAAAACTAAGAAACTAACATAATACAATCATAATTATAGAAAAACATATAACAACGGAACAACTCGGAACATAACATTCAAACCAAACAACGCAAATGCGAAAAGTTTGTTCCCTAAATTGCCTCGCGAAACAGTATAAGTAGAAATACCCTGCTTGCGTACACATTATTTTCTTCTTAGAAATAAAAAAAGGGACGTAAATTAATACAAATAAGAAATCAAATAAAACGCAAATCGAAAAATGTAAGTTATGTTCATAAATTAATTCATTCATTATCATTTGACATACATTCAGGTAATTTAGAAAATTATATTTCTGAAAATTAAAATGTCAGCTAAACACGGCAATACTTTATGATTTAACATTTACTTAGACGACATTATAGCGGCCTTCGCTATTACTGACTCAGATCGATATTAATGAGTGTAATTTGTACAAACTCACATTTCCGTAAGCTCATTTTGTTCGGAAATTATATAATTGTGAAATTACTTTAAATCCATCAGATATACTTGTGATATTTTTAAGTTTTAATAAGAAAGAGAACGATTTTTTTAATTCATCTACATTTTTTATACTCGTATGTTTCGTAATATCTTCGCCGATTCTCAATGAATATTTTAAGCTGTTTTTCTATGAATCTATAGACTTAATCTCGAGTTAATCCCATAATAATTTTATCATGATTACTCTCTATTCTTAACTAAATGTTATATTATTATCGTTTATAGTTTATTCAATTCTTTAAATATTCTATATAATAGACATATTTTTTTAAAAATTACTGTAATTATAGTAAATAAGTATATGATTAAACCATGCTCTAATACTGGTATTCTCTTCGTTTAAAAAGTTAACCGTTCAAACTTGCTCATAAATTAAAATATTAAATTCTAATAAACTCATCTATATTTTTTGCATAATTATCCAAATGCATTAAGAATAAAAAACAAAACAAACAGTAAACATATAACAATAAGAAATGTTCATCATCGCTCTAATATCGTTTAATATACAAAGGCTTTAAAACAATAATCCATTGACTGGCTTTATTTAGCTCAGATAAAGGTCTCCCCTCAATTCCGGTCTATTTAATTAATAATGTAAAGCACGCCGTATATACACATGGGAACACGAACTATAGGTACAGTATCTCTGTCTAGTTATTTACTGTAATACAATTATGATAAAACAGCGTTATAATGGAATTTCCGGAACGTGATTTGCAATATCGCATAACTCTGGATTGTTAGTTGCTAGGCTTTTGGATTTCAATAATAATAATTTAGAAATCTACGTTATCAATTCAAAATTTCTTTTATTTAATACTAACTGTATTACACGGCTTCCATCAGTATATAATTTATCCTATGCTCTGAGTCAAGATATAATTAATTTAAAATTTTTATTTAACCTCGTTCAATAGTTTTTGGGTTAAAATAGTAACCAACTATCCATCTATAACAAACTTTCGCTTTTATAATAGGCGTAGGATTAATTATAAGCTCTTTACAAAAACTTTTACAATTATATTAATATTTTTAATTGAAATTAAGTTATGAAACGAGAATGACATTAACACAAAATATCAAATGGATGTGATAAAGTGACAAGAAGAAATAAAATAAGTTTTTGATATATATTGTCCATTGTTTAGAGTATCATATACTGTCGTCAAGTAACACCTTTACTCCCACAACAAAGATCAGTTTAATGACGACCCATTTTTAAAATTCCGTCAAGCTGTTTACACTGCATTACACGTAGCGCCATACTTATCCTAACATTCATACACCCACTCGAGAAGCATTACTTGCCTTTCTTCAACAGTCGGATAATAAATGAAGGACATTTTAAGACAATTTAATACTACCCTCACATGCTTTTGTACTCATACATAATGCATATTTCAACGAAAAATCGAAAATATTTATTCATTGCACGATATAAACACAATTTCTATATTGCGGATCAGATATTCGCAGAAAATTTTATAAATATTTAGATATTTATAGACAATTTATTTTACAGTTCACAAGTCACAAGAGCCACCAACCTTAGCAGGTTCGTGGTATAAGTGTGTGGTAGGAGGCGCAGGAGGCGGCGGGGGCGCCACGAGCGGAGCGGCGAGCGTGGCGGGCGGCGCTCCCGGCGATGTGCCATCTGTAGAATACCCTGTGCTATACGCGCTCTCCGGTGATGAAAGATGAGGCGGGGGAAGTGGTCCAGTCGTAGCAGTCGACGTTACCCGCGACTGCTTTTGTTTACGCTTCTTCGCCCGCCCCAGCTGCGCTTCCATCCATGACTTGAGCCGCGCGCCCAACATGCCGCCGCCGGCACCTATATCAAATAATAAATTTATACAGCAGAAAATTCGTGGTAACGCTTTCAGGTATATGTCCTTAGAAAAACCTACTGTGTGAATATCTAAAAAAAGTACGTAATAATCTACACAAAATAAATACAAAAAATATAATAAATATAATAAATGACCTAGCCTGTATATTTTATTTTATTTAGTTTATATATACATATAGAATTAAAATACATAAAAAAGCAAGACCAATGACGCAATGTCCTATTTTAGTATGATAAGGACAAAGAGAGAAAGTAACTACCCCATTGAAACGGGCTTTTTCAGGGAGTTCAGAAAAAACAGGCACAATAATAATTTATGAACCGTTCACTCGCTCGATGAGCAACGCGTTTCAGTGTAAAATTTAACCCCGGTATGAATAGGTATATCCTGTCTAGTCGAATTTAGTATGCTTTTATTTAACATTCTGTTAGATTATGAATCAAATATACTACAATAAATTTATAGCTTACAAATTTATTGTCTAACTTAGATTGAATAATTCTACCTATATAATTCACATAACGTATTTATAATGTTGATATGAGATGTCTCTACTAATTCAAATAGCAATAGAAAATCAAGGAACGTATATATAATATGACACCATAATGAAAGCCTGTTGGATTCGTATGTGACAAGAAACACGAGTTCAGTCTTAATTACTACAAACAATACCACCCACATTTGTTCGAGAACTTTTGCACCCTCGGTATTCGCATAATGGAGCACAGAAGACATAAACACAAATATGTATCCCAACAAAGGATTCCAGAAAACTGCGTTAAACATACCTAAGCTTGCTTTTCACGACAACAACACAATTGTTTCCTCGCCAGTTCTACATTTTCCTGTCATCAAAACTCACGCTCTGATGCAAACAAAAGTAGTGATATAAAATGTTTTATCGTCTCTTCATTTCATTTCAGTGAAACGACAACCGATAGTGAAAACCACAATACATTGTCTGCGGACCCTCGCATTGTCGTATTTCAAGAAACTGTGGCTTGCTCGTAAAAAAGGGCGCAGTTGCACCCTCCTACTTCATTTACATCATACGACGTCTTGTGCAATGAAAAGATATTACGAATATTGCATATTAATAAACAGCTTTACCGCACGTCTCTCTTTCCATATTTTAATATGATTTTATAAAACACAAGCTTTTTCACAATATTTGCATATAAAAGCAGTTTGTTTATTATAATAACATTACAAAATTAATTTCAAACATCATTATTACATTTTATAGTATATACGACGTAATGTTGATTATTCTATGTAACAAGTATTAATCAATCATAAGCAATTCTTTCCGCCTCTGCGCGATCCTATCAATCATCTGGGTCGAGCGCGCCTGTTTTCGAGAGTTCCTCCCATAATTTTTCCTTTATCTTTGTTTCTTCACTTTCTATTTCTTTGTTGTATAAATTCATATCGTATACAGTATTGACAGTACTAAACCTAAGTACGTAAAATGACGTGGTTATGTTTGTACTCCATCTGCAAATATCCTGGTAATAAGTTCGTATATAGTATCAAACCTTGAGGGGTAATTTAAGTTTCCCTCCGTTAACTATTCTATTATATATGTTAACCGTCACTGGCGTGAGACGATTAATAAATGTAATGTTTAGTAGTTAAGTGTTCTTAACAAACCTAATTCAACAACAATTTAGATATATTGTTTGTAACGACCCTTAATGTTCAGAATAAAAGCAACAATCTATAAGAAATCTCAGAATCATAGATAAAGAATAGTATAATGTTCAGAATACTTCATTTGCGATAACATTCATTATAATATATCAATTAACAGTATATTTATTATTTTATTTTGAACGAAGAACCGACTTCTTATCAATGGAACACTTGCAACTTAATGCGCTTTTCAACCTCTCTTTTTATAAAGAGAGACACTTTAATATCAGGCCACTCCTTTCCTAAATCTGCCCCAAATACCTATTGTCTCCGTATTCCCCTTGCGCACTTTTTGTCTTCTATAATGATGTTTTTTAAAGCCATTTTGCTGTATCCTGAGCAATATTTTCTTTCATCTATTTTTAAAAAACTAATTAAACTGATTAGTCATTTAGAATTATTTTGTTTAATTCCGCTACCATTAGTATGTGTGCAACTGCCAACATTTGAAGATTGACTACTATTATTATCAGTAGGAGTTCTATGACCTTCCATAATAGTCATCAGTTTTTGTATACGAGTATTATCCATTCCACGCACATGTTACGACATGCATTTCACCTCTAAACAAGGCATCTTTATATAAATTAATAAAATTCTGCACGAAGCCTAGTAGTAACCCAAATCGTGAATTACTCATTGTCAAACGCGTTAATTAATAACAAAACAAGAACCTTACAAGTATACAACCAAATGTTAAATAGGTGCATCAACGATCACTCTATTAGTTAATATATCACTATAATAATTTAATTTCGAGATTTCTACACTACTGGCTGTTTTGCACCCTTCGTCATTTGTCCTGAGAATAGTAAGCTGCAGAAAAGACGGATGAAACGGACTTATCTGGTTGGGTACGCAAACTTACGAGATTTAGCTAATATTAGCAATCCATTACGGGATGCGGTGGCGGAGGGCGCCCGCTTACAGCGGAGTGTTGACTTATTGATGAGGTAGGCATCCGGTATCGATTGAAAATGTTAAAAATTTTAGTAAAAAGATCATGTTGAAAACAATATAAGCTTAATGTTGCATTAGTAATGAAAAAAAAAAAAACAAAAAACATGCATTAGAATAGTATGCAATGAATGCTGGACTGTTAAACAATTTAAATATGGGCATAAGATTATTTATAGACTATATACAATATATATATATATATCTTGCTCTTGTCTATAGGCGACGGTTACCACTTTCCATAAGGTGGGCCGTCAGCTTGTTTGCCATTCCTTAGAATGATTAAAATTTATTACATAAAAAAACAATATCAAAATATCATGATAAAATTAAAATAATTGTCGGAAACAATAAACTTGTTAACATTTTTATTTTTGAAACGTATGTAATATATATATGTTTTAAAAATATATCAGTGAGAAACTTTGTATAAATCATCTGCTTGGGTATCTTTGTCCTAAACGTGTTTCTGCAACGAAGCATCTGTACTTGCACGGCTAAGTAAATTACTGTCTTATCTACATTATTACGTTCAAGAGCATTAGCATTATCACCACTTTTTCAACTATTAATAAATCCACTGTTAAACATAGGTCTTCCTGTAAGATATGATCCTGATAGATTGGCGTTTATTATCTCCCTATAACACATTCAAGGTCCTCCCATCATCGTTATTTAGCATACTTTACGAAACGTTCACCTGCAAGGTGCGTTTACCCAAACGGGATTGCCATTTGAAAAACTGTGTTTTCTGACTATTGTCTTTGCTGATACTTCAAACTATGTGACCGTTTTCTTCGAGATTACATACATGGTAAAAAGACGAATCTTTATCTATTTACAGAAGACTATAAAGGACATAAAACGTCAACATTTTTTCCACAATGAAACACTAAACAAAAAAGGTACCTCGTAACGAAATAAAGTGTCGATACAATCGTTCAATGACTCTACTGCGAGTTTCCCCGTCTAAATAATAAATTGGAAAGTAAAGCAATATATTTTGGTTTCGGCACAAAGGATCGAACTCTGCGGTGGTCCAGGATGCGGCCAGCGCCCGCCTTTTGAACAATTGGTCAAGACCCCCTTTTCCGTGTTATCAATAAAACTGTCAATAGATACAGAGAGAAAAGGACAGAGATATTTATAAGATTATTCTACCTTATGATGGTAAAAATTCAACGGATATTAGTTCTATTTATTTCAATACATTTGGTCGAATTTTATTATTATTACATATTTAGGCTTTGGTCAATAAAATAGAATACGAAAGGCATTAATTAATTTAATAATCTGTACATTCTTTACCAGTCTGCTTTAGAATATACAAATGGAACTTAATTGCAGCTTTATACCAGACCTAACTTATTAAAATTAATTAACTAATGAACTCACGACCCTCCCTATTCCTGATGGAATAATCGAAAACAGTTACTGACTGTTACCTACCGTTATATTGAAGATATCATGCATGCCCACATTTTGCTAAACATATTTAGCATCCATGTGACGTAATGAATCACCGAGATAAATTGCTAATGATGTTTTCTATCATTGGAGAGTAAATTGGAAACTTAGATCCCCATGCAAAGATTTTTGATATCGACCAGATTCAAACTCACGATATTTATTGGAATTAATAAGCCTAGGCAGCGTGGATGGTAATAATAACAAATTAATTAACAACGATAGTTTCTAGAAAAAACCGCGTAAAGATCGACCTGACAGGCTATATTGCTAATAATAGAGCCACTAATAATACTAACAATCTCTTCCCGAGTCAGGGTAGTCATACCACAACGAATTTATGTATTGTGTAAACTATGAAAATCGTAACAAAAATCTAGTTTATTATTTAATAATAGAAATATGTGGAGAGAACTTATAAATAAGTAAAATGAATACTTGCTAAAAGAAACAACTACAATATATCAGAGCATAACTATAAACGAATTACTTATGAAATAATAAGGTCTAAGTTATGAGAACGTACACTGAAAGCGAAGGATCGTACATAAAACTTGTTGCGAGCAATCCTCTCTGGATTATGAGTCCATTCAACTACTTTAGCGAATACATGAATATAGTAAAAGATCATGTTGTACCTACCTATGAGAAAAACGCTCGTTACATAAAATACGATTGCAAAATACTACAGAGATCCATGAGTAACTTTTTTAAGTTACACTACACATTTATAGTACTAAAGTGGATACAATAGACTAGAAGACCCCAAACTTTTGCTCTTACCCCAAAACTTTGTATTCTTCACGGTGCAGCGGTGCCCCGAAGCGTCGAAGCAAACACTTCAGAAACATAGACATAG